TACACACTTCCATTTCTTCCCTCCTGCCTTTATGCTATTTTGCCGTACATTTTATTGTTATACATGCTATAAACAGTTAAAACAGTTCTCTTTTAAAGAGATTTAAATAACAACAAACACATATACTTACTCTGGTAGTTACCATTTCCAGGGCTCTTCATTCTTTTCTGTGGATCAATATTTGTCTGCTATCATTTTTCTTCTGCCTGAAGGACTTCTTTCAGAATTTCTAGATTCGATGCTATCCCCAACAAGGTACCACTGACTTTCTTCACAGAATTTGAAAAAACTACTTTAAACTTCATATGGAACCAAAAAAAGAGCCTGCATAGCCAAGACAATCCTGGGCAAGAAGATCAAAGCTGGAGGCATCACACTACCTGACTTCAAACTATACTACAATGCTACAGTAACCAAAACATCATGGCACTGGTACCAAAACAGATTTATAGACCAATGGAACAGAACAGAGGCCTCAGATATAACACCACACAGCTACAACCATCTCATCTGTGACAAACCTGACACACATAAGCAATAGGGAAAAGATTCCCTGTTTAGTAAATGGTGTTAGGAAAACTGGCTAGCCATATGCAGAAAACTGAAACTGAACCCCTTCCTTATACCTTTTACAAAAATCAACTCAAGATGGATCAAAGACTTAAAAGTAAGACCTAGGACCATAAAAATCCTAGAAGAAAACCTGGGTAATACTACTCAGAACATAGGCATGGGCAAAGATTTCATGTCTAAAACACCAAAAGCAATGGCTACAAAAGCCAAAATTGACAAATGGGATCTAATTAAACTAAAGAGCTTCTGCACAGCAAAAGAAACTATCATCAGAGTATACAGGCAACCTACAGAATGGGAGAAAATTTTTGCAATCTATCCATCTGACAAAGGGCTAATACCCAGAATCTACAAATAACTTAAACAAATTTACAAGAAAAAAACACAAACAACCCCGTGAAAAAATGGGCAAAGGATATGAACAGACACTTTTCAAAAGAAAGCATTTATGGGCCGGGCGCGGTGGCTCAAGCCTGTAATCCCAGCACTTTGGGAGGCCGAGACGGGCGGATCACGAGGTCGGGAGATTGAGACCATCCTGGCTAACACGGTGAAACCCGGTCTCTACTAAAAAAATCCAAAAAAAAGCTAGCCGGGCAAGGTGGTGGGCGCCTGTAGTCCCAGCTACTCGGGAGGCTGAGGCAGGAGAATGGCGTGAACCCGGGAGGCGGAGCTTGCAGTGAGCTGAGATCCGGCCACTGCACTCCAGCCTGGGCGACAGAGCGAGACTCCGTCTCAAAAAAAAAAAAAAAAAAAAAAAAGAAAGCATTTATGCAGCCAGCAGACAGATGAAAAAATGCTCATCATCACTGGTCATCAGAGAAATGCAAATCAAAACCACAATGAGATACCATCTCACGCCAGTTAGAATGGCAATCATTAAAAAGTCAAGGTACAACAGATGTTGGAGAGGTTGTGGAAAAATAGGAATGCTTTTACACTGTTCGTGGGAGTGTAAATTAGTTCAACCATTGTGGAAGACAGTGTGGTGATTCTTCAAGGATCCATTTGACCCAGCAATCTCATTACTGGGCATATACCCAAAGGATTACAAATCATTCCACAATGAAGACACATAACCATGTATGTTTATTGTGGCATTATTCACAATAGCAAAGACTTGGAAGCAATCCAAATGTCCATCAGTGATAGACTGGATTAAGAAAATGTGGTACATATACGTCATGGAATACTATGCAGCCATAAAAAGCATGAGTTCATGTCCTTTGCAGGGACATGGATGAAGCTGGAAATCATCATTCTCAGAAAACTATCACAAGGTCAGAAAACCAAACACCGCATGTTCTCACTCATAAGTAGGAGTTGAACAATAAGAACACATGAACACAGGGAGGGGAACATCACACACTGGGGCTTGTTGGGAGGTAGGCGGCTAGGGGAGGGATAACATTAGGAGAAATACCTAATGTAGGTGACGGATTGATGGGTGCAGCAAACCACTAGGTCACATGTATACCTGTGTAACAAACCTGTATGTTCTGCACATGTAACCCAGAACTTAAAGTACAATTTAAAAAAAATTTGTAGTAGTGTGGCTCTGCTGACGATGATGAATTCTTTCTGCTTCTCTATGTCTAGAAACCTTTCATTTTGCCTTTGTTTATGAGATTTTTTTTTCCAGGGCATAGAATTCTTGGTTGGTAGCTTTTTTATTTTCCCCTTTCTGCTCTTTCTAGATGTTGCTTTGCTGTCTTCCCTCTTGCATTCTTTTTGACAATAAGTCATTATCCTGATATGCCTGATATGTGCCCTATGGTTGCTTTTAAAATCTTCTCTTTATCACTGGTTTTGAGTAATTTGATCATCATGTGTCTTAGTGTAGTTTTCTTCATGTTCCTTTTGACTGTGGTTAAATGGTTCTTAAATTTGTAGGCTTATATTTTTTGTCTAATTTGGAAAAATTTCAGCTATTATTTATTCACATATTTTTTGCTGTTATCCTGCTCAGTCTACTTAGGGGACTTCATATATTGGGCCGCTTTAAATTGCTTCACAGCTTGTTGATCTTTTATTGATTTTTTTTCTTTATTTATAACCAGCATCATTTCTAATAGATGCAAAATATTTCCTCTTATGTTTTCTAATTTGTTTAATTGTTTATCTTTTAGTTGGGCATATAGTTCATTTTAGTGTTTTATTTTTCTACTGTAAATATGGCCAGGAAAAACATTTTGAGAGGACCATGTTCTGATTTTTCCAAAATATAAATTATGAGATAATTGGTTTTAAAATTCCCTTTACATACTCACAGATTATGTTATAAAGGTGTTTGTTTATTTACCTTTCCATGCAATGTATGAAATGCCCATCTCACATAGCCATTGCTAGCATTAAAGGCTTTAAAAATTATTTTATTTGAACATAATTTTCCTATGGGAATGTGTGTGTGTGTGTGCACACCTGTGCATGCATGCTTGTGTTTGAATGCATGTACATATTATCAGAATGAATAATTTTTTGCTTATTGTATTTTTAAGAATGTAAGTTAAGCATGAAAAAATGTAATGAAATGTTTGAATAAGAGTGGCATTTTATTGCCTCTAACTTGTGTTCCAAATTTATTGATTTTGACTTGCATTATTTGGCACATGTGCCACTGTTTAAATGACGCCCATGTGACACTGTTGTAGAATATAAACTTTTTTTTTTCGGATAGAGTTCTGCTCTTGTCAACCCAGGATGGAGTGCAATGGTGCAATCTTGGCTCACTGCAACCTCCACTTCTCGGGTTGAAGCAATTCTCCTGCCTCAGCCTCCCAAGTAGCTGCGATTACAGGCACCCATCACCATGCCTGGCTAGTTTTTGTATTTTTAGTAGAGACAGGGTTTCACTGTGCTGGCCAGGCTATTCTCTAACTCCTGAGCTCAGGTGATCTACCCGCCTCGGCCTTGAAAGTGCTGGGATTACAGGCGTAAGCCCCTGCGCCTAGCCAGAATATAAACTTTTAATATTTTAAGTAAAACATTAGCAACCACTAAACTGATAATTCTACTTATTAAGTTACCCTACACATAAGCAGCAGCACAATTCACAGGCTACTGAAATAAGAGGGACTTCTGTTTATCAGATCTCTGTCTGCCACCGCCACATGGCACCAAGCTCACATGCCATTTATAATCTTTGATTTGTGCTATTTTAAACAAAAATTGGACTTTTAAATTATAGCAAATGTAGACAAAAGGTGAGACTTCATTAATGTTTTATTACATTATTTTAAATTATTCAAATTTATGTAAAATGAAACAATCCTCTTATGTAAATTTTGTTTCTCTGTCAATATTTAATTCTCTGATTCCTGCTTCATGCCTTATTTCAATGGGTATAGCTTGTGAGTAAATACTGAATAATGGGAATGATAGAAGGTGTCTCCGTTTGGGCTCCTGTAGCAGAATACAATAGACTTGGAGGCTTTTAAACAGCAGAAGTTTCTTCAGTTCTAGAGACTGAAAGTTCAAGATCAAGGTGTCCACAGATTCAGTGTCTGCTGAGGACTTGCCTTCTGGTTCATAGATGGCCGTCTTCTCACTGTGACCTCATGTGGTGGAAGGGACAAAAAGCTTCTCCAGGGTCTCTTTTATAAGGGGCATTAGCCCCATTCATGAGGAATCCACCCTCAAGACTTAATCACTCCCCCAAGGCCCCACCTCCAAATATCATCATCCTGAGGGTTAGGTTTCCATATTTAAATAATGGAGGGACACAAACATTTAGTCTGTAGCAGAAGGTCTCCTAATTTAGTTTCCAATTTTATTGAGAATGCCTCTAGTTTTTAGATATCAGGAATAGATACTTGCTTTTCTGGACAGAAATATAATTTATATCACTTTGTTGACTGGATACGTTTATTGATAGATTTTCTAGTGTTAAAGTGTCTACATTCCTGAGTAAGCCTACTTGATTTTACAAGATTATTTGGTTACTACCCTGCTGTTTTTTGTTTGGTTTTTTGCTAGTGTTTTCTAATGACATTTAGCTTTATTTTTAAACATGTTATTCTCCTTTCTCCTTGTTAGTTTTTGACAGTAGGGTTGTATTAGCTTTCTCTAATAAATCCAGCAGTCTCCCAGATTTTTCTGTGCCGTGCATTAGCATTTTTAAATTTAAAATTATGATTTCCTTGAACGTTTGCAACCATTGAAGGCACCATTAGTGCATTTTCTCCTTACTTCTTAGTTTTGGGCTCATTGGTGTATTCAAAATTTCATCTCTTTGATACGCTATTGTTTAATAATTGTTCTCACTGAGGGGTTGGGCAAACTCCTCCACCCCACAAGCCATGGGCTTGGTTGTCAATCTTGCTTTGGCCATTGGAATGGGAAGAATATTACATATGCCATGTCTGCAGAGAGGCTTTGAACATATTTAGGACTTTTAGGTTCACTCTGTGCACATATATTCTTTCCAGGTGAGGAAAAGCTTCCAGGAAATTGTTACTATTTCAACCTGGAGCCTGGAAGGAGAGATGCACAGAGAAGCTGTGAACCCAACTTGTACATCTTGAGCCAACCCCAGCTATATCTCGCCAAGGTCAGTCAACCTACAAACCCATGAGAAAGAAACAAATGCTTGACATTGTAAGCCACTGACATTTTGTAATTATTTCTTTGCAGCACGAACACAGAAGAAGTTGATTAATGCAATTAGTGCGTATACCAAGATATTGCTGGCTGATAATTTCACTGAAAATCAATTTATTTCCCTCCCCTATTTTCTTCTCCTTTCTTCCTTCCTCCTTCCCTCTCTTCTTTCCTTCTCATCTCTCTTTCTTTCCACTCATTCCCTCTCACTTTTCCTTCCTGGAAGCATTTAAAGCTATGAATTGTTTAACATGTGATATTTTGATTTCTTTGTATTATAAATAGTCTGTTACGGTATTTCATTTTCTTTTCTCTTTATCCTAATAATTATGAGCTATTTTTTTCCAAGAGTTTACTTTTTTTTTGATGGCACAAGCTTTATTATTAATGTTAAGCTTTGGTGTGTTGTGGTCAGAAAATATAATCTCTATTTTTTCTTAAATTTTATTAAATTTTCTTAAGTTAAATGTCATTGAGGTTTTCTTTAGCACTTGAATATGGTTAATTTTTGTAAATACTACATGATTCTTGGAAAGGCTTATGTGTAAGTTTCTTGTTCAAGTCTCTGACATGCTAGTTTTCTATTTACTCTCTCATGGAATAGGGAAGATGTCTGGAGTCTCCCAGTTCAGGTGTGTTTCTGTCCATTTCAGCTAGACCTAGAGCATGGTTTGCTTTTTAATTGCTAGGGTATTTTCAGCACCACACGTTTGTATTGCTATATTGTAGCTTTTATCAACATAAAATCATCCTCTTCATGCAGTGAGAAACTTTCTGACTGAAATTATTCTTTGTTAGTAAAATTGTCATTTCTGCATTCATTTTCTCCATCTGTCTCATAGATACCTATCCATCTTTTTAATTTTAAACATTCTTTTTCATTTGTTTTAGGTATGTTGGTTGGAGGTTTTTGTTTTTAATTTATCTTTTAAATAATGCGACAGTTTACAATTACTCATTTCTACTCTATAACATGTTTGTCATTTGTATTTGTATTTCTGTTCATGATGTCTGTTTTTTCTTGTTTTTTTAAAAAAAATTATAGACAGTATGTCTTGTTTGCCTTTCTTTCCTCAAATGATTTGTAAATCTAAAATTGTGCTAATTTAAAAATCTTCGTTTAACATAGTTTTATAATATGGTTTCTTAATATACTTACTAAAAGGCACTAATATAACTTATAGTGCCTTATGTGTAAAAGCCAAATATTGAGCACCTTTGCTTTTCCTGCTGCATTTGCCAAATTTCATTAATTTAACATGGATTGTAATTTCTTAGAATGTAACATTCCTTATTTAACAAAGCCTCTTTGCATACATTTTTATAAAATAATTGCAAAGACAAGTACAAAGACTTATTAATTAATTTTGATATTTACCACTTGTTCTTTAATCCAATAACTCTCTCTTTTTGTGTCCTTAATTTTGATTTGTCTCTTGGTTGCCTACATGGCGGAGTCGTGTTTCTAGGCGAAGCACAGTTTCTGGGGGCATGCTAGTGTTCTGTTATCTTCTTGGAGATTCCCATTTTGTGAGTTTGAAAATCTGTGGTCAGTTTTTGTGTTCTGTCCTATTAACTTTATTCCTCTTTTCTTATCCCGATTCTGGAATATTTTACCAGTTTCTTCCCCCACCCCCTCAATGATATCTTTTTGCACCACGGAGTGTGCTCTCAGCCGCATCCCGCGTGGATTTTAATTTGCCATTTTGGTTTACCTTGCGGTTTCTTCATACTTGTACCTGTTCTGTCTGGTTTATTGTAACATGCTCTCGAATCTATGGGAAACCTGAAGTTGCTGTTTTATGACATATTCTACCTTCCTCTGTTGAAAACAGTTCAGCAGACTTTTTCTTCCAGATGCCTATGACATTATTCTTACTCTTGCTGGCTACAGAATTTCACCCTGAGCCACATGTTGAATTGTTTTCTTTGTTTTTCAAAGACAAAGAGACTGACTCAGGCTCAGGTTAGAAAATCTCAGGGCCACCGGTTGCTGCTATGGAGGGTCTTTGACTCACAGGCGGCACTAGCAGGCCTGGCGCCCGTGCCTGCTCCGCCTCAGGCCCTTCACAGGCCATGGTTTTCAAACTGGATCTGTACCTCCCTGGAGGTTCCAGAGGGCTTTTCAGAAACAAACAGAAACATTCTAAGCTAGAGGGTCTTCACCATCCCATTTTATCTACAGCTGTGCCTGTTACGTAGGAGCTTGTACTTGAAACTTTGCTGAAAATGTTTGAGACCCATTGCTTCAGGAAACACACTGAGACTCCTTAGGCATGCCCGTGTGGGGACATTGCCTCTTGGACAGTCAGCAGGATTGCAAGAGGGGACATTGCCCTCTGTACAGCCAGCAGGATTGCAAGAGGAAACATCACCTTTGCACAGTTGGCAGGATTGCAACAGGGACATCACCCCCTGCCCAGCCGGCGGGGTTGCAAGAGGGGACATTGCCCTTTGCACAGCCAGCAGAATTGCAAACCTCCTGCAACATGGACACGGGGGCCCCATGCAGCCATGCTTCTGATTTCCCTCCATTCTCTCTGCCTGGCTCCCCGGTGAGCACAGCTCCAGGGGTAGAGGCTCATTTCAGCTGCTGGGGAGCAAAAGTGGGGCCTCAGGGGTGAGAGGAGGTCAGAGGGGAGGGGTGTGCTCTGACATGAGAATCCTAAGAGCCACCATTTCTCGATTGGCATGCTTTGCTGATTTGCGGGTGATGGGATTATTGGCAGGGAAGCAGCGGCAGTGAGGGCCTCTGTTTGCTTTCCGGTGAAGGTGGCAAGTCATGGACACTGATGTCACTCCTTCAGGTGTCCTTTGACCTTCTTCTTTTGAACAATACTTGAATCGTAACTGAAGGTCATAACAGAAATGATGTCCTCATGTTAGTAGCCTCCTGGTTCCTACTCCAAGGCCTGGGTTCTTTTCACTAAATGCCTCCTTGGTTCTAGGGTAGATGCAGAGTTTTCCTCCAGTTGTGTGTTTTTGTGGTTATTTAAAGGAAGTTAAGAAATATTTCAATGCATTTACTCAGATATCCTTCCCATGGATTTTTTAAAAATCATAGTGACTTTTAGGTAATTTGAGTGTTTTAAGCATCTTGTGATCTTTCTTGGGAATGGAGAATTTGTGGAGTGTGTGACCTCAGGCTGAGAGGTTGACCATTCTCCGCGAGGCTGACCTGCAAAGTCACACACATGATGGGATGCCTGACCTGGGTCAGACCTGTGCTCAGCTCTAGAGGGACATGGACATGTAGGGGGACAATGGGGCCGCTCTGCGGGAGGTGACAGGTACCACTCAGCACAGCCCATCAGGAATTCCCGACGGAGCATCTCCTCCTTCTGTGAGGTGTGGTCACGGAGGCTTTGGTGTTCCTTGCCCGTGGTGGTGGAGAGAGTCGGCTGGGTGGTCAATAGGATGGGGAGTGACTGTGAGGATGTACACTAGGTGGAGTGGGGCGGGGGGGCCTTTGGAATGGCTGGACCAGGAGGTCCTGTGACCTGCCCAGCGGTATCTCCTGGGTGTGGCCTCCATGAAGCAACAGCAACACTTACTGGGCATAATTTGCTGCTCCCAGCACCCCTGGAGGCAAGTGCCATGCCCTCCTCACTTTTGGGATAAGGAAACTGAGGCTACCCAAAGTCACACAGCTGGTCAGCAGGGGGCTGAATGCAAACGAGGCGTCCAGCTCCAGGCCCTGAGCTATTGAGGGCGTCACTGCAGTGGCTTAAGGAATGAGGGCTGGGCTGAGCAGCCATTTCCATTACTGAAAATCAGGGAAATGAGAGACCATGCTCTTTTCTTCAAGTAAAATGATTAAAAACCTCTTTCGATTTATTCATGGAAAGAGACACAATTTTGTTCTAAGTGGAGGCAATGGGGACTAGAGATTTTCTGTGTAGCCAAAATAATCTCATTTCTTCATCAAAATGTGTCTCTTCCATTCACTTCCAGCTGTAGTAATGTTATTACCACCCCTTTAATTTCTTACCTTTGTCCTTTAAAAAAAGTTTCACTGTTGTTCAGAGTAAAATGAGATGTGCATTTTATTTTGAGAAGCCAACCACCTAGGGTTTAAACAAGTGATTGGGAGTGAGGCAAACACTGGCACCTGGGCAATTATGCCCACAGCAGAGAGCACGGTGGCTTTCCTGCAGAAGGCATAATTGGAGAGTTGAGTTTTTACCTCAGGTCTTTGCCACTGTGGTCTGATGTTATTACACCTTAGACGAAGCCCCCTGCTGTCTTTGGTTAGAATTAGAAGACTATCTTATTTAAGAAGAGGTTGCCTTTTGCATCTTCTGTACTTTGAAATAAACTCCAGCTTCTTTTTTGCATAAACGGGCTCTTACTCTGGAACCCATGTGGAAAAGCACCGGACTTTTCCTGGAGAATATTTGGGATGTTGGCTTTGTGAGGCCACTGAGCTAGATTGTGGAAAAATACACAGTGTGAAATGTTTTGTCAGGGCTTGCTTTAAATAATTACTGCTATCAAGGTCAAATGGGATTTCGCTTGAATTAATTAAAGCTACAGGGTCAAGACTAGATGCTCTGAAATTATTATTTTCTCACCTTTACCGTTCTCTGTGGGCATGGAGAGACTCCAATTAGAGCCTCAGTGAATGGAGGGATTTGTGTCTGTTAAAATTAAGATTGCACAGAACTGGACAAAACATCTGTTAAATTGTGATTAGCCAAATTTCCCAAATTTCATTTGGACTGGTGCTAAAAGAACACATTTGCCAAATAATGATCAAGACAGATGCTCCAATTACATGATCATATTTGCAAAACCAGTTTATGTAAAGTCAGGATGTCATTCGATACAATGAAAACTAAGTGACATGTGGTCCTGTTTCTCACCTTAGTGAGCAGCAGAAAATTGCTGTAACTTGCCTGGGTCCCTAGAAAGCATGTGGTATTTTCTGTTCTGAAAACAGTATTTTCGTTGACGATCATGGTTTTGATTGAAATCTCCTCAAGAAATTACTACAGATCTGACTGGTAATGTAAAATAAATGCACGGAAACAAACAGGAATCTCATAACATTTAAACTATGGGCACAGCGTCCAAGTCTCATGAAATGGGCATCAAGAGAGGCTGGTAGCTCATGTCAGTGATGCATAATGCAAATTGCATTTTAATTCAAAACATTAGCGTGTGCCGTGGCCAGCCTGCCTACAGATACTGGAGCTTCCTCCAGTGACACCTTCCGGGGGACTCAGAAAGGAACTATTTCAATGG